TTCGCTACTAGCACCCTTAACCATCTCTCTGCTTCTATCGGTTATATCCTGCACCCGTTCGCTACTAGCACCCTTAACCATCTCTCTGCTTCTATCGGTTATATCCTGCACCCGTTGCTACTAGCACCCTTAACCATCTTTTTGCTTCTATCGGTTATATCCCGCACCCGTTGCTACTAGCACCCTTAACGATCTCTCTGCTTCTATCACTTATATCCTGCACCCCTGTTCCTGGATAACATAAGCGTATCAGTTGCTCCTAATTACTCCCCATACTACTCCATCTACATTCCTAGCTAGAGAGTCACCTACAACTCTAACTTCTCAATCCTTTACACCATCATCCCTTGTGGTCAGATTTTAATATAAAGAAATCGTAAAAAAAAATCAGTGTGTTTAGTCGTCATGAAAAATCCAAATACTGTGATGTAAATTGATTAGGTCCAATCACATGAAAACAAATTTAACCATAAACTCTACAAAAAAAACACGAAAGAAGGAAACACTTTTACTACCATTTTTATGTTCTTATGCTGTTATTGTTTAAACAATAAAAAAGAGTGATTGTGATATTTTTCAAACAAACAAAATGACGAGGATGTTACAGGTTAAAAAGAATGATGATAATCATTTTATTTTAATTTATTTATTTATTAGAAATGAGAAGCGAGTACAAAGTCACGCTTTTCTGTAGCATGTTAACATATCAAATGTTCATCAATCATTGCTAAAACTGAACATTTTTAGCCTAACGTACTCTTTACAATTAATGGTGCAATATACGTTGTTATGTGTCCTATTCAACTGACAAACAGAGCTGGTTATCACTTGATGAATACAGCTGTTTAACAAATGACAAACAGAGCTGGTTATCACTTGATGAACACAGCTGTTTAACAACTGACAAACAGAGCTGGTTATCACTTGATGAATACAGCTGTTTAACAACTGACAAACAGAGCTGGTTATCACTTGATGAATACAGCTGTTTAACAAATGACAAACAGAGCTGGTTATCACTTGATGAACACAGCTGTTTAGCAAATGACAAACAGAGCTGGTTATCACTTGATGAACACAGCTGTTTAGCAAATGACATACAGAGCTAGTTATCGCTTGATAAACACAGCTGTTTAACAACTGACAAACAGAGCTGGTTATCACTTGATGAACACAGCTGTTTAGCAAATGACAAACAGAACGAGTTATGACTTGACAAACACAGCTAGTTCAGAACTGACAAAAAGTCAGTTATCGCCTGATAAACACAGCTGTTTAACAACTGACAAACAGAGCTAGTTATCGCTTGATAAACACATCTAGTTGACAAAAGACAAGTACAGTAAACTAAATAAATATAACAGTCGTAGATGTACGAAATTGTCGGTAGTTTTTTCAGAGATTCAGAGTTGCCTTAGCTTTTAAATCCACTTAATTCTAAAAAGCGATAAGATAAGTTAACGCTGGAATCATAAATAGAAAGACACATGGGGGGATAATGTAAGCCCTAATCGTGTCATGTTGTAATACAATACTCACAATATAAACAAGCAAGAGAAACCTTTTGCGGTTGCTATAACAACGATGTCAATATCTGAACTTGTTATTTTCAGCTCGTTGTTGAGTTTTTAAACTCTCTGCTTAGTTTGCAGTTTTGAACATCATTAATATTAACAGCGTATTTATTTACCAGTATATACGATAACAATCTCGAAAGGATAACGACAACAAAACGTCTTTGTGTTTAAACAGACATCGAACTATTTTTGTTTTTTTGACCTTATTTGCGCGTCGTCATATAGTTCCCATAGCAACACAGACATGCCCGTACAAGAAGAATTGACAGGAGTATTTCACGTTCACAGGTATAAGGTTGTGAGTCGTATCAGTGGTCAGCCTGTAACCAAGGGAGATAACGATTGGTGGACTGTCCCCTCAAGAAACACCAGGTAATTGATAAAAAATGTAAGCTAAGAAAAATGATATTTAGAACTTGAACAGTAATGTTCCTTGCGAGATTACTTGTCCTTCATCGAGCGTTTATCACGGATCATTTTAGGGCAAAGATTCAAGGTCTTTTAATTCAGGTTGCTAAAAGAAACGAGAAAAGTCCATAATAAATGTACATGCAATTTGTATCGCAATCGTCGGTCAAAACAGTAGCCATTGTTTAAAAAATATATACAGAGAAATTTTCTAAACTGTTTGAAATAAATAAAAACCCTATAACCCGAGCGCTTTCGAAAGGTGGACCTTTCTTCTTCAGGGGCAAACTGTTTGAAATGGTTTTGTTACACAGAAAATTATTGTATTAACACTCTTCGTGACATGAATGAATTTCTTCCCACACTTCCAGTGGCTCATTCTAGAAGCTATGATATCATGACAACAGAAAGGGTTAGCTAATACGAAAGAATGTGTTTAAAAACATTTTACCTTTAAATGTCAATAAAAGATAAATGGAAACATTACAGATCTTGAGTTATTATTGTAGTGGTTTACTCCCTATCGTAATCCAATAGAAAAACTGTCAACGTTATTCGAGCCCTAACCACCTACCATAAATTCAAAGGGCGAGCATGTTTGGTGGGCAGCCGTGGAGGTGTTGCAATGTGACGGTCAATCCCATTATTCGTTGGTAAAAGAGTAGCCCAAGAGTTGGCGGTGGTGACTAGCTGCCTTGCCTCTAGTATTTCAATGCTAATCTAGGGACGGCTAGCGCAGATAGCCCTCGTTTAGTTTTGCGCGAAATTCAAAACATACCAAACCACCCCTATGTGTGTGTTTGTCAGCAAGATTTCTCGAAAATGGTAGAATGGATTTGGACGAAAGCTGGTGTACGTTTGGACTATGAACCAACTTAGATGTGGTTAGTTTTCGGAGGGTCAAGATAATAGCAAGGTCACAAAACCCCCAACATCCCTATCTGTTAACATGAGGGCCGATTTTTCACACTATTTTTGCTCAAAACCCAGTCAAAAATGACCAGATTGTGAAGAAACTTGGTGGACATATGTAGAATATTATTTCTCAATCTCTTGCCAAAAATGGTTCGTGTCCATTGATAACGACGGACATACGGAAACATTTCCATATTTTTTAAGAGCCGGATATAATCAACGCTACGTGGTGGGGGTATGCGCTCTAGTTAGTTTGTTGTTGGTTTTGTCTCTAGGGAGGGGGAGGGGTGTTTAAACGGATTTTAATCCTCTTCTGGAACTATAAAATCTTTAGGTAACTAGTATATTGTTTATATATATACACACTAGTAAACACTAGATTATACAGTGGCGAATCGACGTCATACAAGATACTAATTAAATATTCATATTTTGTAGTATGTTAACCATCTCTTTACGTCTTTACTTTATGTTGATACAAACGCCAGTCACGTTATGTTATGATATGTAAAGTATCTCCGATGACAGGTTAACCGCTCTTCATCAGGATAGCAGTCTAGAACCAGTGTTGTACTTGGAACTAACATATGACAGGTTAACCCCTCTTCATCAGGATAGCAGTCTGGAACCAATGTTGTACTTGGAACTAAGATATGACAGGTTAAACACTCATCATCAGGATAATAGTCTAGAACCAGTGTTGTACTTGGAACTAACATATGACAGGTTAACCGCTCTTCATCAGGATAATAGTCTAGAACTAGTGTTGTACTTGGAACTAACATATGACAGGTTAACCACTCTTCACCAGGATAATACTCTAAAACCAGTGTCGTGCTTGGAACTAATTCATGACTGGTTAACTGTTCTTCATCAGGATAATATTCTAGAACCAGTGCTGTGCTTGGAACCAATTTCTCCATTACTGATCGTGCTCAGTTTGACACTGTAATTCCTATGACAACCAAGACAAGACACTGTAATTTTAATTTTTAGCTTCTTTATGAAAATCAGCTATTACAAGTAACGTGCGACCCACAGCTATTAGTATTGTCATTCATCACTTTGATCAGAATCTGTAGAGAAGATTGAGAGTAGTAGTTAGTGAAGCAAGAGTCTAGTAGAACACATCCACTGAAAATATGTGATAGTTTTACCACAGTCCGAGTTACAGAAGTTGGAAAATCGCTAAACTATCACTCCTGTTAATGACACAAAGTGTGTCCTGCAGCAGGTTGTTTTGTCCGTACGACACACGTCTTGATTTATACAGAACATGTAACATTAATGCTACTAATTCATTATCCTCAATTTCTCAGCAGACGAGCTGTTTAGAATACTGAAACCACCTTATATGTACTATAAACGCCACCATTATAGTAGGCCTCGTTGTTTCAATTCACTCTTTTCCAGTATTTTCTGATTAGGAGTGGCATTCCCATAAACCAGACTAAGTCAGTGACAACAGGACAATCGAGTGATAGAATGGGCCTCACATTCATTTTCAGTGTGTTACTACTCGTTGCTTCCTGAAGGAGACTACACACAATTCATTTAACACATAATCTAACATTTCAAAAATGAACTGCTAAGCCTAACACAACAGACTTTCATTGTTATTCAACAATAGTTCAGTGATTTACCAGTGAAATTTATTTCATTTACTATAATATCAGGATTATTAAGTAGTAGATGTGTTTTAGATCTATAATTTATTCACATCAACTTGTTTATAAACGTTTCTTATCCTCCTGCAGAACCATTTCTTCGTTTTTCTAATTAACTTGATTGTTTTTTTTTTACATGTTTACTCCGTTCGTATGTTAATCATACGTAGTGTATACGTTTATGTTTTAATTGGGTTTTGAAATTTTAGAATTCAATTAGTCAACACAGTTGTTACCTTTCCCTTTAATATATTTCGAGAAACTAAAACTTTCAACGTGAACGGCACTTTATGCGCACGAGGGCAAATAGTAGGTCAACGACTTCTAGAGTTCAGGTGTAGCCGTCCTTAATTTTAAACAACTCACCAAAAGGAAGAGAGACAGACAGTAGTACCCCCTGCCACTAAGATATTATTCAGCTATTTCAGCTAAAAGTGCGTCTCGAACTCTGAACCCTTCGGTACACAGCCTGAATAAGTCAGCCATTAGGCAAAGCTCGGCTTTTATTTATATAGTTCCTTGTTTGTCATTGTCTTTCCACAAGTCTCCTCATTATTTAATTACATAATCGTTAGCGTAACGTCTTAAAAGTGGACTTCACCAAATTCCGGAGTTGTGGAGTTGGCAGTTCTTGTAATATCATATTAGCTATTTCTGATAGTTTTTACCATATTTAACGAAATTGACAATCTATATAAATCTACACTATTACTAAACCTTACCTCATCAGGAGACCCCCTCACACGTGATACCACTGTCAAATGAACAAGTAGAAACCTATTTTTTTGAAGAGTTACATTCGAAACCTAACACCATCAGAAGAAACACCTCACACATAGTCTGTGTAGAGATAGACTATTTTAACTGTAGCTTGAGACTAAGGATGTATATAGTGATAAGTAGATTTGGTAGCGTTTTGTTCACAAATACTTAGTGTTCTATAGTCTGTTGCATGAGGAAATACAATAAAGGAAAAGACCAATAATCAAATATTGGACTGAAGAGGACAAGTGACAGTGTCAAATCTTGTATCTTTTTTATTTGTTCTTGTTCCGCAATAGTGGATCAAAACGTCATTTTACATGGAGTCATATACATAATACCACCCCACCCCCCTCAAGCGCCAGTGCTTCCTCGTGACAAGTACCAATCTTGCCTCACGTGCAACATAGCTGATTTTCATATAAAAATTATAAACAACAGTCCAACAAAGATGGATAGTGTGTGTATGTAAGAGTGGATACTCTGGAAAGATTGTTAAGAGATAATCTCGACGATCTTGGTACAAGCTTGTTGTCATGACATTTACAGTGTCTTGTCTTGGTTGTCATGGGAAGTACAGTGTCAGACTTAGCACGATCCGTAATGGAGAAATTAGTTCCAAGCACTGCACATATGTCCACCAAGTTTCATCACAATCCGATCATTTTTGACTGGGTTATAGAGCAAAAATAGTGTGAAAAATCAGACCCTATGTTAATAGATAGGGATTCATTTTGGATTTTCGTGACCTTACTGTGACTTTGATCCTCCAAAAACTAATCATTTCTAAGTTTTGTGATAGTCCAAATGTACACCAACTTTCGTCCAAATCCATTCAGACCGTCAGAGTTCCCAGGTTGTCATACTTTGTGTATAATCACCTACTTGGAATAAAAAAAAAGAGCCGATAACATGAAATTGCAGTTCTAAACCGACTCTAAAAGATACTCAAAACATGTCATAACCTACTCTAACAGGCACTCAAAACCATATCATAACCTACTCTAACAGGTACTCAAAACATGTCATAACCTACTCTAACAGGCACTCAAAACATGTCATAACCTACTCTAACAGGTACTCAAAACCATATCATACCCTACACTAATAGATCTTTAAAAATCTAACCTTAAAACCTACACACAAAAACGTATCTCATCTTACCGAAACCTAACTACTATTCTCAATCTCTACAGATGCTGATCAGAGTGGTGAATGAAAAACTAATAATTCTAATTCAAAATCGGGATTTTAAAGGTCCATTTAATATTGTCTTGATGAAGCAGAAAGGAATTATCATTAGAGGACAGACCAGTTAAGATAATAAGTAAACAGTCTATCTTATCTTAAATAAAATATTGTTACATTCGTATATATATAGTTACAACACACAGCAGCAATGCACGTGAATTACAAAATATTCAGAACATTTTTCACAGTTAAAGGTCGTTTACCTATAATAAAATAGAACATCGATACCTGTGAAAGTTATGAGCCTTTTAGTAAGATAAGGTCATTTTGTTGTTTCTAATATTGTTGATAAGGTTACCACATTGTTTATAATGTTGTTAGTAAGGTCACGTTGTTGTTTATAATGCTGTTAGTAAGGCCACTGTGTTA